TCATGCGTGTGACGGCAGAGGTATTGTTGTCGTTGTCATCGTCGTGCGTGTGACGGCAGCGGTGGTGTTGTCGTTGTCATTGTCGTGCGTGTGACGGCAGCGGTATTGTTGTCATTGTCATTGTCATGCGTGTGACGGCAGAGGTATTGTTGTCGTTGTCATCGTCGTGCGTGTGACGGCAGCGGTGGTGTTGTCGTTGTCATTGTCGTGTGTTTGACAGCAGTGGCGGTGGTGTCGTTGTCGCCGTTCGTGGAACGCGGTGGTGGTGGTGTCGTTGTCGTCGTGCGTGGAACGGGACTACGGCGAAGGCCGCATCTCTAGGTTTTCCTCTGCCCGGGATCGCTCGTGATTGGGCTTCCCTCGCCGGCTCGCTGCTGCAGCGTGCGCGCGCGCGAGAAAGCGAACGAGCGAGGATATCTTGGTGCGTGCGTCGACCCTGGTGTCGCGTAGAGCAGGAGTGGGAGCGCGGCCTAGCGTCGCCCGCGTGTGTGAGGAGGGAGCGTTCCCGACCCGCACGCGAGACGGGAAAGGCGTGCCGGGAGAGGAGGGAGGGAGGGCGCGCTGTGACAACAAGGAGGGAAGGCATGCCTTGAGCGCGAAGAGTGAAGTGCCGCGAGAAAGAAGAGGGGAAGGGCGCGCGCGCCGTGAGAGCGGAGAGGGGTGGAGGGCAGCGCGGGGGGGCATCGTCTCGTTACTCCGTCGGGTAACGAACTTCTCCTACCTCTTGCAGGATGTCGTGCGTGCGCTCCCGGCGTCCCTCGCGCGCGTCCCGTTGCCGTGGAGACTGGCCACGGCGTCGTCGCCCGTCCGAGATGCGTTTGCGTCGTAGTCGCGGATAGTGCAAACCGACCCGACCTCTGTGACTTCTTGCGACCTCCGTGACCTTCCGCGACCTTGGGTCGCATTAACCGTGCGACAATCGCACGCGGCAACACCGCGTGAACTTTGTAATCGGCCGCAGCGACTGGCGGACACGAGGTGGCGCCACCCCCTCGTCCTGTCGCCGCCTCGTAACCTCCGTAGAGCAGCCGAGATCGCGCGAGGGGAGACGGACGGAGAGGCTCCGTACCCTATCAGAGCTGACCCTGTCGCCGCGGGGTTTCTTCCCGGACTGTAGGTGGCGCCGCTCGGCGCGTTAGCGTAAAGGCGCTTTCCTGTCGCCGTCGGGCGTGTGGACTGAAGCGTGGCACATGCGGCTCATCCCTCACCGGCTGTCCGACTTACTGTGACACTCGAGGCTAGACGAGAGAGAGAGAGAGAGAGAGAGAGAGAGAGAGAGAGAGAGAGAGAGAGAGAGAGAGAGAGAGAGAGAGAGAGAGAGAGAGGGGGGGAGGAAGAGAGAAGTGGATGACATTTAGAGGTGCATGGTCTCCCTCAAATAGGGTCAATCATACAGGAGGCCTCCACCTGTATGTATACTCTATACCTCTCTACTCCCGCGGGAAGCGAAGGGCTATAGAGTAGTAAGAGCTACCATGGGGGAGAGAGTTAGAATGCCATTCAGAGAGGAAGGATCTCCCCTGGAGAAGGCCAGACATACAGCAGGATGGAGAGTGTGTGACTCACCGCATCGGCAAACACACAAACAAACACGAATGCTGGTGCGTACAAGCACTGAAGCACTCGCGTAGGAGTAGCGAGAAGAATCCATACTCTATACTATTATGCCTATATATATATATATACATTTTGCGCAGGGGAGAGATAGTGATCCGCTAGAGGGCGCGTTAAATGCTAACAAAAACGGCTCTGATTGGTTAATTTTGTCTTTTATTTATTTTATTGTTTATTATTTTTGGATAATTTTGTTTTATTTTAGAATTAGAGATAAGGTTAGGGTTACGGTTAGGGTCAGGATTAGGGTTAGGGTTAGGGTTAACTGATTTCTATGTCCACAACTTATTTCTATATTCACTATCTCTCCCCTGAGACCTACTATATAGATATAGATATGCCTAACGGAAGTGTGTGTATTTATTGTACAAATGCCTTCATCGTTATGTGGGGAACGCGTTATTATGGAGTTGTTTTTTGGTGTTAGCGGGAGTAGTTGAACAAATCGCAAGCGGAATTATTAACTGCTATAACGTATCGATAATGAAATATAATTTAAACTAATTTTATATCCTACCCTATTCTCCAAAAAAAACGACCCAAGTGTTTGCGCTCGGCACACGACCATTTACCTATGACGAGGTATAGCCAGTCGGTGTTGCAACAACACTTTAGACAGTTTTTTTTAAATAAGTCAGAAACCCCACCCAGTCCTGGTTACTAATAATATATTTTGATTTCTAGTATATATGTGATAGTGTAACTCCATAATAAATGAGCCAGTTCTGCACAGAGTATAGACAGTCGGTGTTGCAACCACACATTAGACGGTTTTTGAAATAAGTCTGAAAAGCCACCTAGTCCTGGTCAGTGGTTACTAATATATTTTGATTTCTACTAGATAACCTATAGTGTAACTCCATAACAATCAGCCGGTCCTGCCCAAGAGTTCCCAGTCCCGGAATGTGGGAAGAGCAACTAGTTCCAACACTGGCTATACCTGTACATGTATGCGTACGCGGGTTAACACACCCTGTATTCACCTGTACACACCTGTACACGCCTGTAGGATGTGACCGTGATTAAAACACAGCCGGCGTGGAGGAGTGGTGGAGGCGGCAGTGGTAGGGGAGGGGGGAGGGGAGGGGGTGCCCAGACCACCGGTGCGGAAATACAGCGAGCCTACAGCGAGCACGACAGAGAGAGCGAGAGAGAGGGTGGGGGAGAGGGAGGAGCAAGAATGACGAGCGAAAGTGTGTGTGTGTGTGTGAGTGTGTGTGTGTGTGTGTGCGCGCGCGCGCGTGCGTGCGTGCGTGCGTGCGCGCGTACGCGTGTGTGTGTGTGTGTGCGTGTGTGTGCGTGCGCGCGTACGTGTGTGTGTGTGTGTGTGTATGTCTGTGTGTGAGTGAAAGATAGAGAGCAAGAAACACACACACACCGAGAGAAAGCGAGTGTGTGTGCTGAGAGAGAGAGAGAGAAAGACGCGAGAGAGAGAAGAGGAGAGAGAGAGAGAGAGCAAAAAAGAAAGACGAAGTATGTGGAAAGAGAAAAAATATATACTTTCGCGAGTGAAAGAGGGAGGAGGGGTCAGAGAAAGAGAGGGTAGAGAGATAGAGGAGCTCAGAGAGAAAGAACGAGAGCGCGAAGAACGAGAAAAGGGATAAGAGCGGGCGAAGAGTAGAGAGAGAGAGAGCGAGGAGAGACCGAGAGACACGAGAGAACCTGAGATAAAGATAGGAGATAGACCGAGTCACCATGAGTAAGAGAGCCGAGAAGAGAGCTATGACGAGATAGATAGATGAGAGAGAGAGAGAGATACAGAGAGAGACGGCACAGAGAGAGAAATAAAAAAGAGAGCGAGAGAGAGCGAGAGAGGAGGAGAGAGAGGAAGAGAGCAGAGAGAGAGAGAGAGAGGAGAGAGAGAGAGAGAAGAGAGAGAGAGAGAGAGAAAGAGAAGAGATAGAGAGAGAGAGAAGCCGTTGAAGAGAGAGAGAAAGAGAACGAGAAGGAGAGAGAGAGGAGAGAAGGACATAGCAGAGGAGAGAGAAGAGAGAGGGGGGAGAAACCGACACGATGAACCTGCCTAGATTCACATTGTTCGAAGTACCGTCCGATAGGCAGACATCCTAAAGTGCGTACGCGTACGTTGCTGAGGTTATCGAGTTGCATATAACCCCGCTAGCAGCAGCCGCATTCCTTTATCAGGGCAGTATTCTTCTAGGAAGAATTGAGGGCAGGCCTTCGCCATGGGAGAGCGGCCATTACGTAGTAGGCTGCGCTGGGAGAGCGGCAGTTACTGTAGACGATGTAGCAGGACCCCACATAGTAACTCGAGGTGGCACGCCCGTACAGAGTGGCCTTTGTGAGGTGTGTTGACTTGGTAGACTCAGCCCCGTAATCCCACCCCCCATGCATTCTCTCACGACACACACACGCACGAACGTCAGACGCACACCATAAACACGGCCCCACGCACGCACAAACGCACCACGCACAGCACGGCCCGCACGCACGCCACGCAACGCAACGCACGCAACACACACACACACAGCACGCCACGCACGCGACGCACGCACAACACACACACACACACACACACACACACACACACAATACGTGGCTAACCACTGCTGCCACCCCGACACCAGCACCAGCACCGCCTGCTCTGGGTCACTACACACCGTTTACATGCATCGCAGTTATTATTAACATGAATTACTTAGTGTACATGTAATGACGTCTTGTATACGCGGTATATCAGGACACGCCGAACGGTCAGGAATGTATAGCGAGGCTGATAGAGTCTATGTCCCCCAGGGTACTATCGGAGGGTACCCTGGGTCCGTCGATATATCGGAACGGTACCCTGTACTATCTAATATGCCGGACCGTACCTCGCCTACTCCACTAACGAGTCTAGGGAGTCGCCTACGCCTAAACCTAACCCTAGTAACCATATCAGAACATCATCATCATCATCAACATCATCATGATGATGATCATCCAATCATACATCAAATCACAACATCATGAACAAAATTTTTAAAACAAATCATCATCATCATCATCAACATCACCATCATCATCATCGTCATCATCATCGTCATCAAACATCATCATCCATCCAGCCGCTGACGGATAAATAACATAGGAGTCAATTGTTGTTTACACGTGGGCCTGCCACTTCAACCCTGAGCTGCGCACCCACATACATAATTCATCCATCTATAGTTTGGAAGGTACGCGGTACTGAGTACACTGGCACTCAATACATACACGCCGGTACTCTCTCATTCTCTCCGAATGACCGACCCACTCGCGGTAAAATATCACGGTCTCTCTCTCTGTCTCTCTGTCGCTCTGTCGCTCTGTCTCTCTGTCGCTCTGTCTCTCTGTCGCTCTGTCTCTCTGTCGCTCTGTCTCTTCTCTCCTCTCTCTCTCTCTCCCTCTCGCTCTCTCCCTCTATCTCCCCGTCTCTCTCTCTCTCTCCCTCTATGTCCCCATCTCACTCTCCCTCTCTCTCCTCCCTCTCCCCTCTCTCTCCTACTCGCTACCTGTGGAATGTAGGCCAGCTATTACACAACCCTACTCCTGTCATGTCAGCGTTCCCGCACAGTTGTCACAGATGTGTGGGTGGATGTCCACACAATGGCACCGGGAGAATTAGCAAAGATGCAGCTTAAAGGGCGAATGACCATTCATATATATACACACGCACACACATAGATCGCCTTTGTACGCCGTACACACCCACACATACTCACACGTCAATCACTCCTATATGTTTCTTTCTCACCTGCTTGATATTTTAAACGACAACATGCGTCACCCGCAGCGACTATTCGCATGCTATTGATGATCATATGTTATACATGCGTATTATAATTAATTCTTAAATTCTGTACTACGTGAAACGTAAGATGACAGTTACGATAGCAGATAGGAGTCTTCCACAATCGCATTCCTTAGATAGCATTCTTAGAATCTTAGATAGCATTCTTAGCAAAATTTTTCTAATCTTAGATAGCATTCGTAGAATCTTACATAGCATTCTTAGAATCTTAGATACTAGCATTCTTAGGGCACACCCAACTCTCATAATAAAATCGCGGTGCGTTCCTAGAAGGAGGTAACGGTATATTTGTACGCTTGGCCACATATCTGCACGCAGCGCTACGGCTAAGCGCGACCGACATTTTGCCGGCGTCATCCTCTTAGCGAACTAAACTAACTCACTTGTTTCTCCGTAACGACACTTATTTCACGCGGCAGACGAAACGCTATGCTCTGTCCGCCTTTTTTCCACATTTCAATTTTTCAAAGACCTCAATACGCAATACACGCACACTTCAAATATTCGCTACACATCTCTCAGAATAAAGGCCCCGCCACACTCAGCCGAGTTTTTACCAAAGATAACGCGATGAAGCGATGAAGCGATGTAAGGTGTGCGCTTCATTTGTAGACGAGTTTTATTTATATCGGTACGTCCAAATCAAGACATGTTTGATTTCTGAACCCGATGACCGATTTTTAAGCCGCCGCACACCTAACATGCGCTTCATCGGCTTCATCGTTTAAAATCGGCTGGTGTGCGGCGCCCTTAGATCGCTGACAAAACGAGAGCATCCCTAATATTCACCAGAGTGTCCAGAGTTATAGTATCCATATACAATAAAGATCTAATATCAGAATATAGTCAAATATTATCGGTAGTGTAAATAATATAGATAGGTCCTTCTATATTATACACTCCTGATCAATATGACGTCAATAATATAGATCTATAATACACGCTGCTTCACACCGCATACGCTATCGGAGCAGTAAGCTAGCGGACAACCAGAACAATCGTAACACGCACCCGAAACATTTTTCAACGAGTAACTACAATAATGTTTTCTATCTTCAGAGGCTGTTCTGACGACTAACGCACTGCTACGCGCTCCCAACTAATGTATCACAATCAAGAGCGTCATAGAAGAAGGAGAGCGTAACAACGGTGAATATGCCTGAAACAGATGTGCAGTATTAGTCGAATATAAAACTTTCGGCCCGTTTTATTTGACGATTTTGCCAGTATTATTGACTCACGCTGGTCCTACTTTGTTAAACAAGAGTATGATAATAACACTTAATTATAGTTATTATCTACTCTTGTTAAATATAAAACAACCGCATGCTCCCTAGCGATGCCTCTACGTCTGAGATAATGAGCGGTGAAATCTGGTATTTTTCGCCGAAAACCGACTCGAGATCAGTTTGACTGGCGACTGTCTCTCTTTTGTGCGACTTCTTTAATATCGCCTTGATATCATCAGGATAGATAATTAGGCAATTGCCCTATTAATGCTACTCCTGATATCATGTCATAATGCCGTTGGTCTACATACAATACTGCTCAAGCACAAACCGTGAGCAAAGCTGCAGTCCCATGACACAGGTGTGAACGGTGCAATCGAAGAAGGCGTACATTGTGAAATTATGAGATAAGAAAGTAACGTGGTAGCAAGGAGAGAGAACGATCTTTGGACTCCTCGGAGAAGCTCGATAAAGAGGAAGCAGATGGGTGGCAGTGACGAAAGAGAGTTGGAGAAAATGCTGGGAATCCAGCCAAGAAGTGTTGCACGGGATAGAGGGAGGAGAAGCGGTACAGAGAATATTTGAATCACACGTACAACCAGTACCACAGAACACTTCACATATAGTGCTATACATGAATGGAACACACATACACATGTAGACACCACGCCACGAACATTACATATCATACTATCAGGAGTTAGATGAGACTAAATTGTCTCACTTAACGCCTGATAACTGATGTCATTTTCTGAAGAAAATCTGTATATTTCCATCAGTTCTGCAACAATGTAAAGACACACAGACTGCACGCACCTCGCAACATTCTGACACATTCACATAGCGTACATACACTTAACGCATGGCACGCACGCTGTACGCACGCACGCACGCAATGTAGCGCACTGTCACTTGTGAAACACATTCACATACGTACATACACCTACACGCATGCACGCACGCATGGCATTACATGCACGCCACACTGCGCATGCACGCACGTCACCCTTGTGAACACATTCACATACCTCATTCACATGTACGTACATACCAATAACGGCACGCACCAGGCAACGCATCGTATTCGTCACGCAGCACGCACGTTCACAACTTCTTAAACACAATTCACATACGTACATACACTCCGCATGCACGCAGTCGCACGTGTAGTTCCACACTTCTGACACATCCACAAGACGTACACTAACGCATGCCAGCGCTACGCAGCACGCACTCACAGACATTCACATACATTCACATACGTACATACATAACGCAATGCACGCACCGCATGCACACACGTACACAGCTTTCAGATTTGAAAAGTACAGAGGACTACTATGACTCCCCCTAGGACACCATAGGGGGACTTTTCACGCTCCGATAATCACATCCCCTTAAGAGGCATGGATGCGAGAGCTCCGCACTAAAAAATCAACACGCCTCAGAAGGCGATGATGTTGAGAGACTCCACTAAAAAAGTGCACACCGTTACAAGGGATCGATGGAGAGCTCCTTGAAAGGCTCTCCCATCATGCCCTTTCTTGGCTGTGATGAAATGAATCATGACCAGTCTCAGTCTAGAGTGAAATCCAAAACGACAATTCGGATGTCATGTTAAATCTACTGATTATCATTCATCTCACTCTTCATTCATTCAATGCTTCGTCAGATTACATTCTTTCATCCAACAACCCAACACTAGCACACGATTAATAAAATATTGATCGATGTAAAAATAACTTGTTTATTTATTCTGATTTCCATCCTTAGAGATTCTAAATCCATGTACCCTGCATATTTCAGCACAAAATATCATCACAATGCCATCACAAAACTAGCCAAAATTACTTGTACGTAGTAGCCACGTATGTAAGCCCCTCCAGCCCTAACGCAAAACTGTTTTCAAGTCGGCAGAAAACCATCTCGCCACGTATAGTAGAACACGAGCAGGTACTTGTGGCTCCGTATAGTACTGTATTTGGATGTCTGTGTTTTAGTTGTATTATATAATATGATATATAAACCGAGAAGGGTACAGGGTTATCCAGGATTTTTCTGGTGGGTTGGATCAATGATTTTTTTGGACCCTTTTTCACAATGGAAATAGGCAGGCAAGATGTGATTACAGCATGTAATACAATCAGGGGCGTGTACGGATTTGTACGCAGGGGGGGGGGTCTAACGTAACCCAACTTGGAGCACGCAGCACAGGGGGGGTGTGGGGGCCCTCCCAGAAAAATTTTTGAAATTGACCTCCTATAATGCATTTTCTGCGCCGAGCAGGGGGTCCGGACACCGACGCGGGTACACGACCGCTGGACAATTTAATTAAATAACAAAAAAATTGTTCAAAAATAAATTTATCAGTTTTTTAAAAAAAATTCTGAAGCTCAGTTGAAAAAGTTTTTTGAACTTTTTGTCTTATCTTGTCTTTGTTAATAAAAAAGGCTCAAGTTCAGAATGGCCTGGAATTGGGAAATATGATTACGTCACGCAATTGGAATGTCTGTTGACTTATTGCTGTACCTGATCTTTTCATTTATGTCCATTTGTAAAAAGGCCCTCGAAAAAAATGCTTGGAAAAAATGTGGACCTTTTAAATTGTTTGGGTCGTACGAACCTCACGACCCCCCCCGCCTGCATACACCCCATGGTAGTAACCCGACCCTGTACCCTCTGCCATACGTTTCAGTCACTTTAAACACCACTAAATGTTGTGTGTTGCTAACCTTTGTACCCCCTACATTGAGAACTCTTATCAGCGGCTCTTTCACCGATAATGACACAGACTTTTTGTGCGCGATTTCAACCAATTTTATGAGGCGCGATGAATGCGCGCACCATGGCTATCAATTTATGGTGCGCGGGGAGGCGCGAGCGCGGATCGCGCCCGTTAAAATGAAGCCTGCGTCATACCTAACGGCATGCCGCCACTCACACTGTATACACTAACGCATGTACGCCACGCATACATGCACATAATTTGCTATTCCCTATCGAATGCACACGAGCTGCTCCGAGATGTTTCTGCAGGGCAACCATGCCACCACAGATGTCAGCTGATCAGAATGAATCACGAGAGGGGTTTCCACGCGTGCGTGATTTCCAATACTAATGAGCGATCTGTCGATCGATCGCACGCGGTGCGTGTGTACGAGATGACATGCCTCGAGTACAGTGCGGTCACACTCTATCACCGCAGGGCGGATCCAGAAGGGGGTCCGAGAGTCCGACCCCCCCTTTTTACTACCACAAAAATAGGGGAACAAGCCTACACACGCACGCACTTGTCACGCACGCGCCCACACACGCCCACACACCACACACACACCTGCTTATATTGTCTCCAAAAAATATCTGTTCAGCCGCTAGTTTTCGATAATAGATTTACTTATATATATGTAAGATTCGTTATAAAACTAGAAATGGGCAAAGAGGGGTCCGCAGCGTCCGGGGACGATGATAAATTTGCATCTAGACATCAAAATTCACCGCCAGAATGCTCTCAGACTGCACCACTTAAAAAAAAAATCCCCAAGATGACCCCCCCTAAGTGGCCATCGCAGTTTTTAGATACACCAAAAAAAGTAAGCTAGGAAAAAGCTCCCGCTTTATTTTCTTCCTGGAGCCCCCCTTTTCAAAATCATAGGATGCCGCCTCAGATCATGCCGTGCGCGCGCATGTGTGTGGCAAATAGCGTTTGTGCAATCGGTTGTAATTTCGTAATCGATCACCGTGGACCCAAGTACAACCGATGATGGTTTACAAATCGTTGTACTCGGGGTGTTGCAAATGCCTGCGTGTTCGTACGTCGTGTGCAATGTACGTGTGTGCATGTATGGCCTTGCGTGTAGCCCTGTTACTGTTTGTTTGCAGCTGTTTTACTACTGGGTGTGTATAATACATGTATGTAATAAAGGATAAACTTGTATAGTGTGAACTCTGGTGTGTGTTCATCTGCAATATGCTGTCGAACAATTTAACCTCAGCCGATTTCGTGTTCAGTTTGACATTGTATTTCGATGAATCGATTATGGATTTTGATAACCAAGCGCTTGGTCGAGCCACTGTTCAACCGATGATCGAGTATAATTCGATGATCGTTGGACATCACTAGTGTGCATGCATAAACAATAAGATATCAACTTACCAGATTCTGTTTCTTGTGCATTTACTGTAATCCACGTCTGTTGTAGATCACCGAACGAACATCTCACGGGTTATGTGCACGTGAGAAGATGATCGTATGAAAGCAGTCCACGGCAGTGTTTACCTGCAACAGAAATTTATCGCAGGGTGTGTCCGAGCCATTTTGAGTTGAAGCGGACTTAGATACCATAAAATGCATCATGCTGTAGATTACTATAGTATAGGTGGCTGTGAACTGCACACACACACACGCACACACGCACACACGTACACACACACACAGACACACACACACATCACCACCACCACACACACACACACAAACTGTGAGCAAACACCACACACACCCACAACCCACACACACACACAACACACACACACACTACACACACCACACCACGTTACACGCACGACCCACGCACACACCGCAGACACGCATCACGCAACACGCAGCCCGCACACGCACACGCACAACGCACGACGCACACGCCACTAGAGCACACGCCAGCGCACACGCACACGCACACGCACACGCACACGCACACGCACACGCACACGCACACACACACTCACATACACCCCACCACACACACACACATGATTAATGATACACTTAAGAGAGTAGACATGAACGTTTGAACCTGTGAAGAAGGAAGTAGAGAGATAACATCTCTCATTGAGGCCCCTAGGAAGATAGCCAATGGCAGAAACTGTGGCACTGATGTGCTTGCCTAGAGTACAGTTGCAGGAATGCTAATGTCTCTGAAACGTACACTGAACTTTGCCCAAAGCAGGTAATTGTCGACTCACGCACCGACGAGTTACATCAACCCAACTGACCTGCCAGTTGCCACGAACAACCAGACAAAAAATAACTGAAAAAGTTCCCTCACCTCATGTCCCTGCAGGACATTTTCATCATTCTAGTTTTTCCATCCATACGTAATAGTACTAATACGTAATTTACGGTAATATAGCTATGAGTTTTCATTTTTTACTATTTTTCGTTATAATATATGTTACACTTTTACATGTAGAGTTGGCTTACTTGGCTAAAGAATTGCCAAGCGCTATATCAGTCTGAACCAGCCAGAAGTATATGGTTACTACCTTGGATAGATTGAATCGGTATTTATTTATTTATTTATTTAAAGACTTATCAATTTTATTGGTAACAGATATATCAACATGAGCTTGCAAGTTTCTCACCGTCAGAAAGCAACATACATCATAGAATATAATGTTATGTACAGAACGCTGTGACAATATGAGTAAGGTGACTTGCATAATCAGGGCTGCCAACATTGGGTGATAGGCGAGAGTGAGATGCGAGGGAGCGAAGCGACCGAGTTGGGGTGGCGGTAGGGAGCTTTTGCATTTAATAACTTCAATTTGTGCAATTTGGTGCATACTAAAGTGACTGTTTTCAGATATTGTAAGATTTTTTTTGCTGTGCGTGAGATATTTCAGCGTTTTATTCATGAAGAGATATTCATGCGTGAGATATCTCAGCATTTTTTTGCTGTGCGTGAGATATTGTAAGATCAGCGTAAGAGGGTGAGATTTGGTCAAAATGCGTGAGTCTCACGGTCAATGCGTGAGAGTTGGCAGCCCTGATATATACAAGGACACATGGAATGATGTGTCTAGGAGTCAGCTACATCTTACTCTATACACACATTATTACATTATTATCATGAATGTGTCCTCACCATCCCAATTCCCAACTGAACTTTGATTGTGACAAAATGCAGAAACATGCAGAATCAATTTTCACAATTACAATTACAGGTGATTGGTTGTTAGTTGCAGGTTAGTGCATAGTCCTATTATCAATGCAGACCAGTGTGGCTGTAGAGTATAATGGTGGGACAGTGTTTGGTCAATGGTGATGCGCGTACAGCTACAACTTCAGTACAAGTACAAGTACAAGTACAAGATCAGGACGTGGACAAAACTATGATGACGCCATTGGCAAACGTATAAGAGTAGTAATACTGTAAAAAATAATGCCATGCTGTTCAGTGTAAGCTAATACTAGTGCTAGCCGTTCCAGTTTTCGGCAGACTGCAGTACACTGCACACTGTACAGCGACCATCGGTCGTACATTGCAACAACCACGTCGAGGCTACGCGTTACAGGTTCATTGACTAGCTAGCTCATTCGAGCCGACACAGCGTTGCATACACACCGTACTCAGTGCTAATGTACAGTAGGTACAGTAATAGATCTTAGTATTACCTTGGCAAATTCATCGTGTTTCGCTGTACAGTTTCCGTTGATTTACTCGCGTGGATATTGGTTTTCACATAATTTAGAGGTTGAAATAATGTAATTTCTTCGCTGGATTTTGCCAACACGCCCAGCTACTAACAAATGCCACCTGCCAAGCGTAACACAAGTTGTTCGGCAGGTGTTGACCCTATCCCATAAGCCTCAGTTCCTGTGGGACAGCGCCACCCAGAGACAGAAATATCAATTAACTCACCTGTGCAGGTGCGCAAAACTTTTCAATCGGGAACGCTGCGCCATCTAGCGAGCGTTATTTATTGATATTTACACCGCTCAGGAATGCACGTAGTACGGACGCATGTGCGCTAAAACGCAATAAAATACAAGGCAATATCGCAAAACAAGGACCACAGTGTAATTACGTATGCTGGACGTACTTTTTGTGTGTATATATCGTTGGTAATTATCCAATTTCATAAATTAAAAATATATTCTAAAAGTTTGTTATATGGATAATTACCTAAATAAAAAAAAATATATATATAGATATATAACATCAAGAGCGTATAAAGAAGGTTAATACGCTCTTGATAACATATATAGCCAATATATATCCATGATCTCCACGAATGCATGCGCGCGTCACTGCATAGCAATATGCTGCTTGCACAGATTACGCGGTATATAGCTAGATCAGAGATACGCGAACCCGTCTGCGCATGTAACACGACATATCACGCCATTAGTGTCACCAATATAAATGTATAATTTCAACACAACACAATGTTTTTAAGCATTTCGGAGTGCGTGGCGGCCCGTAGACGCTTCGGCGTCAACAGCCAGGAAATCTCTCATAATCCTCCAATGTGTTTCAGCACTCCATGTGTGCACTGTTCAGCCAGCTGAAGACATGAAGAACGGAACAGAGATTATTAAGATCGGAACTTTAAACGTGAATGGACCGAACATGAACATCAACTGGGAGACCGCTGCTGAAGAAGCGAGTGATATAGAGATCACTGGCGAAAACAGTGTAGAGGGCAATGACACCATGGGGAGAGAGATCAGGATGTGCGTAGCACGGCTGCCAGTCAGCACCTGAAATGAATGAATGAGGGAAAGATTCGGCATGCACAAACAGAGGTCTCCCCTGATGTCAAGTGGATATTTGTTTAGATTAGTCCTCTCGTTATTATTATTGTTGTTGATGACGGACGTATTTGCTCTAATTTAAAAGTACAAGTTTATAAAAATATTTTGTCCTTAATTGATCAAGACTGGTCACCACTACGCTGGGCTGTACCATTATATACACTGGACACACTGCTACTATATATAGGACACATATCGCCACCTGTTGGTTGCTTTATAATTAATTACCCTTTGTGGGAGATTGAAATGAAAGCAAGAAAACACGGGTAACATTTAGAATCAGATGCCTTAGATACGATCGAGCTTTCAAAGCTGAAATTGACAACTACTACCAGAATTCAACACTTACTCTGTTTACCCGGGAAGTTATAATTAACAAATAATTAACATACACAATAACACAGATGTCTTGTTTGTGACGATTTATTTCAAAAACGTGTATAATATGATCAACATCTATACATAAAGTATTTCATAAACAACTACAAAACCCTACTTCGTTTAACTATGTACATAGAAAATGCCACACAACTAAAAAAGGAAACCAAGTTATATAAATAATAGTAAAGATAAACAACTGGTTGTATTAAGCAAATGAAGTACGTTGTAATAAATACAGTGTATACTGTAGAGACGATCAGGAGGAATCTCTCTCAGTGGAACAACACCGGGACCACCACAAAACCTTACTAATCTTAACGACAAGAATGTACATTTCGAGTATTATAGAACGCAGATAAAAGTTCAAGGAGTGTTGATCATGCTTATAGCCTAAACGCCAAACTTGTATAATACACAGATGATATGCTACTCATGGAGACATCGCTACTGTAAGAACATGAACTTTTCCCCAATAACGTTATAATAAGTAACCGACGATTAAAAATGAATATAGAGCTTTCACGGGTAAATTGTTTACCAAATCCATACTCCCATTGTCTTTCAGCGTTACACTAACGTAACCGGTAATTTTACGTTGTTTATTAGAGCAAAACAGCGTGAAACCCCGTACCGACCGTGTGACACCGGGTGACACCGTGTGACACCGGGTGACACCGGGTGACACCGTGTGACACCGGGTGACACCGTGTGACACCGTGTGACACCGGGTGACACCGTGTGACACCGGGTGACACCGTGTGACACCGGGTGACACCGGGTGACACCGTGTGACACCGGGTAACACCGTGTGACACCGGGTAACACCGTGTGACACCGGGTGACACCGGGTGACACCGGGTGACACCGGGTGACACAGTGTGACACCGTGTGACACCGTGTGACACCGGGTAACACCGTGTGACACCGGGTAACACCGTGTGACACCGTGTGACACCGTGTGACACCGGGTGACACCGGGCACAATCTGGTTTCGACAGTTTTCACGTGATAAACGACCTGACTCACCTACGTTTTAGCAACGTCACTACCTCGTGATGATTCTCACAGAGGACAGACAGACGGCTGCACTGATACATTTGCAGATCTATCTTACTGACTATCAAAGACTTCGCGGTGTGACAGAAAGGCACTGTAATTTCTAGAGTACGACTCGTAGAAAGAGATCGCTCGAATAATGATTATCCCGGTACAGTATATATATATATATCAAGAGTGCATAATAGAGATCTATTATGCACTCTTGAGATATATACATATATATGTGCGTGTGTGTGTGTGTGTGTGCGTGCGTGCGTGTGTGTGTGTGTGCGTGCGTGCGTGCGTGCGTGCGTGCGTGTGTGAGTGTGTGATATCATCAACCATTTTAAACTCGTGTCCACGAATCGTTAATATTCCTGCTCGAATATTTCATCATGTATTTCTGCAGACGAGCCACGATATCTCGTGATATCTCGCCTTATTTCTTACGCAATGGATTGGAACGGAGTAGTAGCGAACGAGACGAAAAACTTCCGAAAGCAGAAAAAGAGAGGAGACAGAGAGAGGACAGAAGAGAAGAGGGCAAGTGTTCATGCTCTCATGTATAGCTATCTTCTAAGACACGGGCACGCAAGATGAGGGATCCACTATCTGATGCCCACTAACGCATGAAATAATTCTGTGTCCACAACCACTAACACATTTACAAGTATTGAGTATTGAAACGACTTTTTGCGTTGAAAAAACCACACAAGCTAAGTTTTTCACTGCGTAGCGGCACAACAGACCGCTCTGATATGAGCAGAAGAGATGATCTTACAGGCTCAAGTCCTACACACTTCAAAAGTAAAGTATCATAGTTGCATTGAAAAACACGCAGACAAACGCCTGACCAACAAATCGACTTTCGACACATTCGTCACAATAATACAGCATAGCGTCGTCTAAAGATATAAGTCCAACGTCTACTACAATGAACACGTACATACTAGAACATAATATGCACGCGCGCATGCACGTATAATCATTCACTCCGAAACTCCGATTATACGAGTCACAGACTTTGGGAGGATTTGTTGATATCGGGTAAGAAATTGCTGCCGATTACAAAGGCAGAAGCAACTTGACACGGAATTGAATGTCAATGAACATCATGTAAGTTGCTATAGGCGCGGCTAGAAGAAATCTGTAATGACTAGCAAAGATTCATTTGTGGTATACTTTACATTTTTTTACAAGATAACATTAAAAATAAAAAAGTAGAAAACAACTCACTATTTACAGAGGTGTGCAAGTTAACAATTATTTATAGATCTTTTGATAACCCCTTCCCTAATTACGCGTTGTATAATTTCCCCCATGATCCGTACCCATCCATTACATATGGATAATATGCTAAATACTATTTGATATGCATGTTACACAATGGCCAACTCGGCTGCCGGATATGCGGATGTCCATATCGATACTCCCGCTTTATGCATTTTTCTACCGATAGATGGCAGCAGAGTTTGGCCACGATGAAATTCAATCTGCTGAGTGTGTGTGCGTGTGTGTCATATAAGGCAACGGCCAGTCTGCCTGGTAACCCAGTTCTAAAAAAAAAACACACATACACACTCGCTGCTGCTCCAGTTAGAGGCAACCGACGCCGCTCAAAAACACAGACCAGCCGGTTTCTTTTCTTTTACACGAGAAGCGAGGGCCTTCCCCCCCCTCGCAACAACGCTCCTGTCGACATTCTATATGGGATCTTGGAGAAGCCCAGCAGGGCTGCATGCGTCATGGTCTGCCGAGGTACGATATCTTATCGTTTAACATCCACGAAAGATGGCTCTACCCTGCAACAACATTACTGTCTACGTCTACTACCCTGTTAAGATGGCACTGTCTATGGCAATGTAAGCTGTCTATACCCTGGTACAACAATACTGTGTACATCAACTACCTTGGTACAGCAATACTGTGTACATCAACTACCCTGGTACAACAATACTGTGTACATCCACTACCTTGGTACAGCAATACTGTGTACATCAACTACCCTGGTACAACAATACTGTGTACATCCACTACCCTGGTACAGCAATACTGTGTACATCTACTACCCTGGTACAGCAATACTCTCCACATCAACTACCCTGGTACAACAATACTGTCCACATCCACTACCCTGGTACAACAATACTGTCCACATCCACTACCCTGGTACAACAATACTGTGTACATCCACTACCCTGGTACGACAGCACTGTATGCGCCTATTACCCTGGTACAGCAATACTGTCCGCACCCACTACTCGTAGCTAACACGATGCATCCATCCAGTTCGTGGTCGCGGCCGATGGACGGACAGACGGACCGTCGCACGCCGCTCGCAGGGAGTCAATCGCATCTCGCCGCGTCAGAGCGAAGAAGCTACAAGCACGTCAGCAGACGCCTGCGCGAGGAAAAACAAAGAAAAAACTGTCGGGGAAAACGAAGAAAAAACACAGAATCAGCCAGCGTCGTTCTAAGTGCCTGTGCGGTGATCCTGTGTTGACAGTGTAAATGTTGAATAGTTGTGTAATAGAGTAATAGTTGTAATGTAGTGTAATAGAGAGAGAGGGACGGATGTGGCGAGGGAGAGAGGGATGGGGAGAGAGATAGAGGGAGGGGGGAGGGAGGGAAAGAGGGAGAGAGAGAGAGAGAGAGAGAGAGAGAGAGAGAGAGAGAGAGAGAAAGAAAGGGATAGAGATAAGGATG